AATCCATCGGCAGCTTGCGCACCCGGGGCCTGTTGTGTGGCGTGTGGAGGCTGGCTAAAGCCCGCGTTTGGCTGATTATTGTGACGAGTCTCTGCAGCATGAGTCTCTCTAGTCGGTGTTGACGCCATGTATGCCTGGGAGGCGGCTTGACCCAGGGGCTGAAGAGCTCTGGAAGACTGGGGCTGCCCCGAGTCACTCAGAAGGGGCAGATGCTCTGCCTCTTCATACATCAGCCTCTGTAAGCGGGAAAATATACGAGATCCATCCTGAGGCGAAGCAGCTGGATGATCGTTGTTTCCATAGTTAGGAGTCGTCGCCGGAGTTGTCACCGGAGCCATCGCTGCGGGCTGTTGAGCTGTAGGCACTTGCGGCGACACATCATCGTCTTCAGGCCAACTCGGGATGGGCGGATAGAAGGTGGTCAATCCTTCATTCGTGATGTACTCCCGAAACCCGAGTGGGTTCGCCGCGGAAGCAGCTGTCGCGTCCCTAAATCCAGCTTGATCCCAGACGTCTTGCAAGGTGATTGGAGGCAGTAGAGTAAGAGCGGAAATACCCTCATGCGCCTGACGGTTCTCAGAACGCACTTGGTCGATAGGCTGAACGTCCGCCTCGTTTCCGTGGATGCCCGAATAGTCGTCAGACGGAACAGCTTGACTAGTGGTATTGGAAGACTTCTAGTTCCGGGGCACGTTGGCAAGCAGTGTCATTGTCTCCACCTCGAAATCGGCTCCATTCGGCAGCTTTTGTCCCTTAGGCAGAGCAGCCGCGACGGAGACGTCGATTTCATTGACCATCCCAGCCTGGAGCTGAACGTCAAAGACTCTAGCGTTGACGGGGAGCACCTGACCCTGAATGGGATGAGATTGCTGTACAGTAGACCGGTTTACCTGCACCCAAAATCGCCACTGACGTCCTTCCTTCTCAAGGAATAGCGGCAAAGTCGCAATGACCTGAAGTCTCAGCTGGGTGGCGGGGACATGAACAGTCACAGACTGCTTGCACTCTCTTTCGAGGGGACTTAAGCTCATGTTGAAGCGACTTCCGTGAGTGATCATTGGATGAGCCTGGATAGTCAGATTGGTGATGAGTGCATCGGCAGCGCCTGGGAGCTTGATTAGTGATATAGTCATTTTCATCTCTCTCGCACTACACGTACTCTTGCCAGGCGCACGGAACTGCTGATCCCACAGAGGTTTCGGAGGCGGCTGTGGGATGGCATTCGCCTGCGGTTGAGGCTGCACAATTCCAATGGGTTGGAACGTCGCGCTGGATAGGTTTGCTGTCTGTCCCGCGGGCGGCGGGAAAGCAGAAGGCGTGCTGGGTTGACCGGGAGTCACTGCAGGCGAAGATCGTGCTGCGTCCTCGCGCTTGATGTTGTTCGTGACAGAGGGGCTCGGGGATGCGACCGATGTGCTTCGGAGTCTGTCCATCGCAGCGGAAGCAGCTGGTAGTCCACTCTGGCGAGCGGTACCATTGCCAAGTGGCGCCTGATCACTGACGGCGGCTCCGGCTGCCTGGGGAACTGTGGGGGCCGGCGAGTCCGCGGAATCACTCTTGCCCCCAACATGGATGGTGATCTTCTTAGATGTGGACGGCTGCTCAGTGGCCGACTGCTGGACCTTAAGCTTGATCTTGGGCTGCGAAGGCTCTGGAACAGCTGCCTTGGCCTTCTTGATTTCAATAGCGAAGAATTCCTACACCCTTGTCAGAAGTTGATCTCGTAGTCGTTAAGGTGAGGCATACCTGAAGTTCTCGCGCCAGTTCATAGATTTCGCTTCCTTCTTCGTTGTAGTACTTGGCGTTATCCCACAGCAAGCTGGCTGCTTCTTCGAATGCCGCCCAGCTCTTCAAGTCGCTAATCCCGGTGGCCTCGTTGCGTCCATGAATGCCCTTCGTGGCCTTCTGAAGCTTTCTGAGGGACATGGGATCCTTGACGACTCTGTAATAGTCTTTCAAGGCTCGTGGAGGAAGGTTGATGAAGGGTTCAAAGTAGGCCTCGTCCTCGCTAGGCGGCGTGTTAGCATGATCCATAGGGATGGAGAGAAGGGTTCACTTACTCAGCTTCTTTCTTGCGAATCATTTCCTCCACAATCTTTTCTTGAGCTGCCTGGAAGTTGAGGCCCTTGTACGAGACGCCCTCGTAATCATAGTCAGGGCGACTAGGCGTGGCATTTCGAGCATGCGATTTGCGAGATGTCACGGCCCTGGACGATGACGATCTACCCGGTCCTCTGCGGCGGATAAGAATAGTCGGCTTGGAGTTCTGGCCTCCCTCGTCATCGTCCTCCTCGCCGTCCGCATCGTCATCTTCCTCTTCATCTCCGTCCTCTTCGTCTGCTTCAGCTTCTTCTCCCTCTTCCTCATCATCTTCCTCAGCATCTTCCTGTTCCTCAGGGGATTTTGCGGCACCCTGTGGCTTCTCAATGTCGTCGTCTTCGGCTTCGTCCACGCGGTGGGCGGGTAGAACGGTCGGAACCGCAGTATAGCCGCCTCTAGCATAAGCCGGGTTGGTCTTGGTCATGAAGTTGCTCAGAGCTTTGCGAACTCTCTCAGCGTCGTCAAACTGGGGAGTGCTCCTCGAGTAGTAGTCCTTCGCGTTGGACACCATGCGCTTGAAATAGCTCTCGAGTTCGGTGAGAGTCGAGAAATCGCCATTCTTGAGCTTTCTTTCGATTATCGAGAGCGAAATCGGCATCCTCGTTTTCTTGTAGTATTCGGCGTTGCCCTCTCTCGGCATCAGCTTCTCGAAATAGACTGCGACCTTGCGACCACTAGAAGAGTTGGAAGATTAGCACACGCCGCTGTGTCTGATTTGCAGATGACACCACTGCAATCAAAAGTCCAAGACACATCGAGTCGATGTGGAAATCGACTTGAGCTATGCCATAGCTAAGATGAGTAGGTAGGTAGACTCACTTCTTGTCTTGAGTCCGACGGATCTGCTCGAGGAAGAATAGGCCATGTTCGGTGGTTGACTCGACCGTCTCCCCCTTGCTGAGGTCATACTTCTGCGAGGGAGGAAGAAATGTCAGCTATTTTGTTGAAGAACAGCAGTGTCTAGGAGTCCAGAGAAGAGAGTGCGCTGAGAGAGTCTAGAAAATTTGGGAAACGGCCGAAAATGGGCATGATGGAGGGAAGTGCAAGCCAAAGGATGCCCAGGCCAATGTCACTTATTGCGGTACCAATGGATCGCAAGTCAGATTCCTCGTGAAGCCCTGTGAAGGACGACACAAGCAGAAAAAGCTTCCGTCGACAGGTGAGGGGTGCATTTGGGGGTGTAAAGGACAATGGGAGCTCACCTCAGTCAGTCTCTGGCGTTTTGCAGCGCGTTCGTCAGCTTCATTCGCGCCATTGACGGCGGATGATCTCCGCTTGTTGTCCATCAAAAAGGTGAGGACAATGGTCGCGGACGCATGCGCTTTTTTCTGAGAAAGTAAGAAAGAGCTGTTTGCTGTATTGTGCCTGCAATGGGTGACGGCAGGTGGCAGCCTTTGTGTGGGTGAGGTGGTGGTGATGCTGCAATTGCGACTGGATTGCAGAGACGCGTCGGGTTGGAGATGGAGACGGAGCGGGTAAGGAAGGCAGGTTCGGGGCAAGGTTGTTGGCAGACAGGGCTGTAGACGGAACCTCGTAAGGTAAGGTACGTAGCGCAGACCGAAGTATGGAAGGTACCTAAGGTAGGTAGGCAGGTCCCCGGAAGTGATGCAGCTCTCCCCACGTTTTTTTCTTTCTCGGGTTGAGATGGGGGTAGCTCGAGATCTGAGATACCGAAAAAAGCCCAGGCACTCAAGTGGGATTATTTTTTTCTGGCGCGATGAGCTTTCGCGCGAAGGTGCAGGTGGCAGGTGGTGAGTAGGTAAGTCTTTCAAGGTTGGGGATGCTAAGGGGATTTCCTCTGGGAATTTCGGGACGGTGGTATTGACCTTTTGCGCTGGCCACTGAACAGCAGGAGCACCCAGAAGGAGAAGGTACGAGGACGAGGTATCTCTCTCGGCGACTTCCTGCCACTTTGTGCCTCAGGAACCCATTACAAGGTGCGTGGGTGCCTTTTTCTCAAGGCGGATTTCCAACTCTAGCCAGACTGAATTGACGGGCTGGTAATAGTGCTGCCAGGTGGCAGGAATAGAATGGGTCCCGTCTACGCCGTTGAGAACTGCAAAAGGGTAAGGTAGGCTGCAAAAGTTTCACCGCCCATGGCATGGACTGTGCTCATTCTCAAATGGAAGTAGGTATCTGGTCAGTGGAGGGGAACTTTCAAAATTGCAGTGAAATCAGCTGAAGCTGGACTGCATGCACAGCAGCACAGCATCCCGAGTACAAAGTAGATTTAGATGTCTTTCAGGTTATTTAAGGCATGTAAGAATGCAGCACCACAGCACTTGAGTACTTCTTCCAGGCCAGGCCAGACCGGGCCTGGGCGGAAGTTGCCGGCAAAAACGCCTCGGACCCTGGGGGCCAGCAGATGATGGCAGCGCTGGGGTTCAAAGTACCTCAGTGAAATCCAATCCGACTTTTGTTTACTGCTCCGTATCTTTGCCCACTCTTTGAATAATAACCCCTCGATGCTGCGCGCGCCAGCCTCCCTCGAACATCATATTTCTGACCTCGAGCTCCCTCGTTACTTCCCATCTCCTCCTTCGAGTCAGTGGTGCAGCTGAACCGTTGTTTCAGTGCCAATTCCTGCCTACCCCGCCTGCATCGTTGTTTACCTTTTTTTTTTCTCTCTTCCTCCCCTTCCTCTTCCCCTCCGACTTGGCTTGGTGTGTGTGGTCGCCTGACCTGCCGGAAGAACTGGATCTTTCGCGCCCTCAGACTCCTCTTCTGCGCCCGAGAGCATATCGCCAGTCTCCGACAGCTTCGCCCGTCGCTTGACCCCTTCGTCCATCGCAAACGAGCTACCCCGCCGATCGCGTCCGCGGTTACGTGCCGAGACTCGACGCCACTCTCGATCCCACAGACGCACACCCCCATCACAAGACAGACGAACCGCTTCCGCCATGGATATCGACATGAGCCGTCGTAACAAGGTCCCGCGGGCTTTGTCCGACTCAGAGAGGGCCCGTTTGGACGAGTTCATCGACTCCATCCACTACTCTGCACGGTAGGTTATCGTACTGTTTCTCATCCTACCGCAATTCCATTGACCGTGGACTAACTTGCTTGTCTTTTCCCTTCTAGATACTCTGACAGCGAGTACGAGTACCGGCATGTGCAGCTGCCCAAAGCCATGCTCAAGGCCATCCCTAAAGATTACCACGACTCTTCCCACGGAACACTGAAGCTGCTCTGGGAAGAGGAATGGCGAGCGCTCGGCATCACTCAGGTATGCCTCGCGGCCCCCATGAGGCCCCTCTGCAACGCACAATAGAAGGCTAATATTAGGAACATAGAGTTTGGGTTGGGAACACTACGAGGTCCACGAGCCTGAGCCGCACATTCTACTCTTCAAGTTGGTATACCCCTCAATCCGATCAGTTGTGCGTATTACTCACACCGATCAAAATAGGCGCCCACTCAACTACCAGCCTCCCCAGTGAGAACGGCATAGCGAGAAACGTCTCGTTACCCTGCAATCGCAGTACAAATTCCCGCTCCCCGCCCAGCAGACTTCTGCTTGGGCGATGCTCTCAACGACACGAATGACGGCCAATGATGATGGAACTTTTCTCTTTAGATATTCAGGAGAAGAGGTTGAGAGATAATGATACCTCGTCCTTGCAGACCACGGCACACGGTATAAAGACGGCGCATACCACTATGGTTGTTGCATTTTCTTTTAGGTGGTTTGAGTCATTGGGGATCTGTTGGTGTTGGGTTGTTTGCTGCATGTCTGGAAGTTGAGAAATGGTCTCGTCTGATGAGAGGTTTGTTGTCCTGCATCACGGCCATCGTCTATGCCACGCTGTCGCTGTTGTAGCGGACACTCGGTCTCGCCAATCGTTGAGACGAAGGTCATCATGGACGAGTGAATGCTTCGTCTGAAAAAAGAAGGGGCGGCGTGTCGGTTGTGTAGATGGTCGCTGTTGGCTAGCACCTGCATAGCTGGACCAACGACAGTAATGAACAGAGCTCGGGAACCAGGAGATAGATACTTGAAGCTAATGCAGTGTTACAAGATGCAAATAGTCTCCAAAGAGCATGGTACCTGTGGGTGGTAATCTCACAGGCATGCACACAATATGAGCTTCGACCACCTGTATTGAGACATAACAAGATGTAGTAGTGTAAGCGAGGCACGCGCATGGGCTTGGGTGAACAATCTACGGATCATAACTACGAAATGATGGCACCACTGCACTACGATGATTAGTCGACATTTTAGACCTCCTAGATCTTGAGCAGTGCTGCACGAGGCTTTCGGAGTGCTACCGGTAGTGCAGCAGAGTGCTATTGGACGTCGCTTTGTCAATGCGGGAGTGCGAAGAACGGAAGCATTTTAGTGCTTTTCAGGCATCTGAATGGGAGTGCTATCAGTCGGTCGACACGTGCAAAGTTGCAGGGAATGAGCGGAGGCCAGGCGTATGACAGAAGCTCCGTGGTCTGCAATCGGCAAGTCGGCGGGATGCACCAAGCCGGAACGAGCTGAATGGCGGCGGCGGCATCCGAGAGACGAGCTGGAACGGCGGCAACTTATTTTGGCGCCAGAGTGGTCCCAATTGGCTCCTACATCTGCTGATTTTCCACCCCAAAGAAGGACACCTTTCAACCATTCCATGGGGGCTGGAGGTACCCGACACCAGTGAATACCGGACCGCCCTCGCTCTCTCAAATTAGCGTTTGGTGCCCCGTAAGAGTTAAGACAGCATGCCGGCATTAAACACTTCGGAGTGAGGTTTAAGGTACGGGAAGCTGGAGTGCGAGGCCCAGACATACCAGGATACTTTGATATTAGTAGCAGGTCCCAGTGGTCGCATTTCAGGATCAGCCAATCCTCGCCAGATAAAGTAACACGATAATTACCTCGAGGTACGGATACTTTGAGGGACCCCTCAGCTGCATATTAATCAGCTCGGGGGTGCCATTGCTACTTCCACGTTTGCCTTCCTGCCATATTCGTATACAGTTGAGGACAGATTCGCATGACTCTGTAGCCTGCCAGCGTCCTTTGACAGGAAGCGTCTAAAAAGGCCCGACAGTCCCGTTCTTCCAGAACATCCCACTTTACACTAACTCTGTCCTCTCTGCCCTGCTTACATCACCTTCTTTAATTCCTTCCTTTCAGTTGCTCCCGTCGAGCAAGGAGAAGAGAAACGCTCGAGGCCCCAGCTCATGACATTGATAGGGAGACAAAGACGACGCCACTTCTGCCACTTGCATCTCTGGTCTAAGACTTGAGACAAGAAACTGGATCGCCTCCCCCCCCCCCCCATTTTACCTTTCAATTAACCTCCAACGTCCTCGGCCGTTTCTCCGAAACGAACCTCACCGAACCTAACTTGACCCTGCTTAAGCGCTGCAGCATTTCCATCGCAGCCTACCCAAGGCTCGGATCTGCGCTGCAGGAGCCCGGACACTCGCAACGTTTCAGCCGAACCTTTGGAAACTTGTCAACTTCACCAACGATCTCCGTTAGAGTTGCGCGAGCAATTCACAAGCTGGCAACCGCCTGTTCTTGCTTTGCAGCTGCATATTAAACCCTCCGATCAGCCACCCGTTCCGCGAAGCTGGGACCTTCGTTTTGATCACCATGAAGTCTGCCAGCAGATTATTCTTCCTCTCTGTGTTTGCACTCTGGGGTTCTCCAGTTCAATGCGAGAGCGCCCAAGATGATTGTGCGGTATGCCGCCGTTTATTTTCTCCTTCTCTTCCTCTCGAGGGCCTACGTCACCGCCGCAGTGTCTGAGTACCGAATTTCTCTCTCTAACTCGTCGTACCAGATCTCCCCAAAGGCCATTGTTTCCGACGCATGCGCCTCGTACTCTACCCTCGATAAATTAAACACCAAGGTCAAACCCCTAGTCGACGACCTGACGAGATCGACCGACTTCTTCTCACACTACCGACTGAACCTTTTCCACAAGAAGTGCCCTTTCTGGAACGATGAAAATGGCATGTGCGGCAACATTGCCTGCGCCGTAGAGACGCTCGACAATGAGGAGGACATTCCCGAAGTCTGGAGGGCGAGTGAGCTCGGAAAGCTGGAAGGACCGCTGGCGAAACACCCTCCTCGAAAAGTGCAACACGAGCGCCCCGAGCGGCCACTACAAGGAAAACTAGGCCTGGAGGTCGGCGAGAGCTGTGTGGTGGAATACGACGACGAGTGCGACGAGCGAGACTACTGCGTCCCCGAAGACGAGAGCGCGAGCTCCAAGGGCGACTACGTAAGCCTCCTCCGCAACCCCGAACGATTCACTGGATACGCTGGCATGGGCGCCGCTCAAGTCTGGGACGCCATCTACCGCGAGAACTGCTTCCAGAAGAGTTCTTTCCCGCACTCGGCATCCCTAGGACAGTCGCAGATCCCCCACAAGGGCCCCGCGGCACAGGACTTCCGTCAGGTTCTCGAGGCAGTCGGGCGCCAGCAGGCCCTGGATCAGATGCGCGAGACGCAGCCTAATGCTCCGTTTGCAGCCCAGACTGGCCTAGAGGCCGGTGACGAGTGCTTGGAGAAGCGTGTCTTCTATCGTGTCATCTCTGGCATGCACGCGAGTATCAGCACCCACCTCTGCTGGGATTTCCTCAACCAGACCACCGGTGAATGGCAGCCCAATGTGGCATGCTACCGCGGCCGCCTGCACACCCATCCCGAGCGAATTAGCAACCTCTACTTCAACTACGCCCTCGTCACCCGCGCTGTCGCCAAGCTCGGTCCCTACCTCCAGGGTCGCGACTACACCTTCTGCTCGGGCGATATCGACCAGGATGCCGCGACGCGGTCCAAGGTCCTCGAGGTCACTGAAGGAGCGGCGAGCGTGCCTCAGATCTTTGACGAGAGCCTCATGTTTAAGAACGGTGAGGGTCCGTCGCTAAAGGAGGACTTCCGCAACCGCTTCCGTAATGTCAGTCGCGTCATGGACTGCGTTGGCTGCGATAAGTGCCGTCTCTGGGGCAAGCTGCAGACCAATGGCTACGGAACCGCGCTCAAGGTTCTGTTCGAGTTCGACAATGCCAGCGAGGATATTCCCGTCCTGAAGCGCACCGAGCTGGTGGCGTTGTTCAACACGTATGCCCGGATCAGCAGCTCCCTCGCGGCCATTAACAAATTCCGCGCGATGGTTGACTCCGAGGAGGCCCTCGCCGCTGCTGCGGCAGCCAAGGCGTCCAGCCCGATCCCCGACCGGGCCAAGAAGCCGCACAACGTGGTGACCTCACCGGACGCGGAGCCCAAGAAGGTCGATCCCGAGGACGAGTACGGCGAGGAAGAGCCTCTCGAGGAAGACACCCTGGCGGACATGTTTGACGAAGAGTTTGGCCGCGTTTACAAGGCCTTCAAGTTTGTTGTCCGCCGATGGGTTCAGGCTCCCAAGACTATGTAAGTTTGAAAACATCACCACAGAGTAAAAACGGCGGGGAACAGAAGACTGACAACCGGCAAACAGCTTCAATGTTGTTATTTTCGAGATACTGCGATTCTACCAGTACTTTGTCGGCCTGCCCCTCACACCTAGAACTTGGCACTTTGAGCGGCCGGACGTAGACGAATTGTAGATGAGTTGTAGATTGGTCGGTTATTCCATTGTTTAGTTTCCGTTATTGAACATCTTACCATGGCATATCATTATACTTTGCATGGCCGGGCGCGGGCAAATGGCGTTTTGCTATTCTTATTTTCACGGAGCCAGAATGCTCCTTAGACTAGTATCGTGACCAGTTTGTACATACAAATCGATGCCAGCACCTCAAAAATCGGCTTCCGTTTCGTGGTATCATGCAAATGTCTATGAATGCTTTACTTGTACACGCCGTCTTCGGTGATACTGTTCCTTCCTTTCTTGGACGAGTTATTCAAAGGGATGTGAGTGACAACGTTGCCAATTTTGGCCTTGACACCCGAAACATCAATCTGCCACTTTCGAATACCACGGAACTGCGGCGTCTTCAGCAGGCCATAGGTGCGCAGACACTCGTCTTCTTCGGGGAGCCCAAACGCCCAGCCGATGCTCACGTGGAACGCGTCGTCGACCAGCTCCGTCGCGTGGGCTTGGTACAAGGGCGGATGGCCGAAACGGACGGCGACATCGTTACATTTGTTGAGAAGCGTACGGAGCTGCGGGTTGCTGCCGGTGGTGCTGGTGTCACCTTGCGAGGAGGCGGCTGGGCATGCTACGCGGAGTACGAGAAAGGCCCGGTCCGAGTCTGGCGACTTGAAGAAGCCCAGGCCACGGGGCGATAGACTGAACTCGCCGGTGGCGGAGGCCAATGAAGACGTCAAGGCGGAGAGGAAGACGTCCTTTTGAGCCGTGGTCAGGGACAGAGGCCGAGAGAGCGAGATGTGGAGTGGCAGAGGGGCGTTGAGGTCCGAAGTTAAGAGCGAGGTCAGCTCCCGCGTGCCAAGCAGAGGCGCGATTTCATCCAGCAGAGCAGTGAGGAGAGAATG